ACTCCTTGGTTTGCTTAAGAGCCTTTGGTGAGAGATCTTGTCAAAGGCTTTCTAAAACTCCACGTTCAGTAGATACACTGGATCATGTTTGTCCACATGTTTTTTGACCCTCCCCCCCCCTTTGCTCCTACATGTATGACTTCGTATGTGGCCATATTAAAATGCTGTTGTGTGTGCCCTGATCTCCAGACTGTCTGGATTGCCTCGTAACAGTGACCTAGCTTCTTCCTTATTTACCACCAGTTTTTGGGTCCTCTGCAAACTTTATTAATAATGATTTTGTTTTCTTCCAGGTCATTGATAAAATTGTTAAATAGTGTAGAGCCAAGGACCAATATCGGAGAGTTCCCAGTAGGAAAAAAATTATCTGCTTGATGATGATTCCCTGTTAACTGATGGTTCTCAAAATATATTTAACTACTTTTTAATTGATTTTTGTGTTGGTTTTGTATTGGTCTAGTTTCTTACTCCCAATCTGGCATTCTAACAACATTTGAGGGGCAAGCTAGGATCTATAACTTCATTGGCTTTGGAGTGCTAACGGGAGTAAATGCTGTTTTGTGAGCAAAGAAAGGGGATTTGACTTTGCAGCCACACAGAAAAGACAGACTTTAGGAGACACTGGTTTTTGCATAAGCAGCAAGGAGTCCTATGGCACCTTATAGACTAACTGAAGTGTTGGAGCATAAGCTTTCGTGGGCAAAGACCCACTTCGTCAGATGTATGTAGTGGAAATTTCGAGAGGCAGGTATAAATATGCAGGCCAGAATCAGGCTGGAGATGACAAGGTGGATCCAATCAGGGAGGATGAGGCCCATGTCTAGTAGCTGATGGGGAGGTGTGAATTCCAAAAGAGGAAAAGCTGCTTTTGTAGTTGGCAAGCTATTCACAGTCTGTTTAATCCTGAGTTGATTGTGTCAAACTTGAAGATGAACTGTAGCTCAGCAGTTTCTCTTTGAAGTCTGGTCCTGAAGTTTTTTTTGCTGCAGGATGGCTACCTTTAGATCTGCAATTGTGTGTCCAGGGAGATTCAAGTGTTCCCCTACAGGTTTTTGTATGTTGCCATTCCTAATATCTGATCTGTGTCCATTGATTCTTTTACGAAGGGACTGTCCAGTTTGGCCGATGTATATAGCAGTGGGGCATTGTTGGCACATGATGGCATATATTACGTTAGTAGATGTGCAGGAGAATGAACCAGTGACAGTATGGCTGATCTGGTTAGGTCCTGTGATGGTGTTGCTGGTGTATATATGTGGGCAGAGTTGGCACCGAGGTTTGTTGCATGGATTGGTTCCTGAGTTAGAGTTATTATGGTGCGGTGTGTAGTTGCTGCTGAGAATATGCTTCAGGTTGGCGGGTTGTCTGTGGGCAAGGACCGGCCTGTCTCCCAAGGCCTGTGAAAGCGAGGGATCATTGTCCAGGATGGGTCGTAGATCACTAATGATGCATTGGAGAGGTTTTAGCTGGGGACTGTAGGTGATGGCCAGTGGTGTTTTGTTGGTTTCTTTCTTGGGCTTGTCCCGTAGCAGGAGGCATAAGGTTTTTGCATAGGGTTTATTCCAACTCCCACTGCAGTCAACAGGAATCTTTACGTTGACATAAGTGGAGCTGAATCAGACCCTTATTTCTTTTTGTGGCCAAAACTGTTCTTTAAATAAAATCTTTCCCCTTTAGCCTCTTGTGTCTTGGCAATCAGCAATAAATAGGGTTTTACTGGAGTGTGGCAGTGGCTAGTTAAAAGGCTCAGAGCCTACCTGTATAATATTGCACCGTCGCTGTATTGTTTACCTCTAGAATTCCATCACTGTGAAAGTGGCATTATCAAGGGCATAACTCTTCAGCATGTCTAACTGCAAATATGAAATGTCTCAAGTGCCATTTAAAAAAAAAAAAAAAAGCTGTACTTTTCACCAAAGGAAAAAAGCAAATTTAGATGGAATTTTTTTAACAATACAGTAAATGATCGACTCCTGTACTTGTTTTCCTAAAGCTTGGCTTTAGAGTTTTCTGTTAATACAATAGTTTAGTTTCGTACATGGCCAGACTTCTTTTTAAAAAAAAAAAAAAGAGAGAGAAGAAAACAAAGGAGAGCACTCAGGCATTTGAGTGAGAAATAGTATCAGCTTTCTAAGTGCCTCTTACCTCACTGCCTCCCACTAGCCTCCCATTTCAAAGTCCTTTTCCCAGCTCTGTTTGTTTATTTAGATCCTCCTGTATTTGTTCCTGATCTGGTGAAATGCTGAGTGTTTGCTGGGCAGTACTGAATACCCCCCAGCTTTTATTGTCGTAGGATATTAAGGACTCAGCACCTCAAAAGATCAAGCTCTTCGGGCAGATAGTCACCACACACCATTATCTGCCCTTACTTGTATTAAAATATGTTCACCTCTTGTCCACAGTGCCTTTTACCGACAGAGGCCACAGGCCCTTTCCCAGCACTGATCAGCAGAGGAGCGTGTCTCATCCAGTCCCTCGTGGCCAAGGGATAATGGCCACAATATACACTGCCTCAAGTGGCTGTTTGTTGATAAAAATGGAAGATTCTAGGATATTTACAAAGATTTAGCTGCTTGCCCCCTCCCCTCTAAAAGTAGAATTTTAGTATTTCATTTTTTGATGTTGCATGCATTGTCACAGTACCTGGGCATCTATAGAGTTCAACAGAAATACAGGCATAAGTTCTGCTAAACAGGCCAAGCAAAACCGAGCAGTGCCAAGGACAACCATCCACTGATGAAGTCCCCTAGCCTCTGGCTGCAGAAACCAAGAATTGAGGAACTACTTGGATAAGGGAATATGCTCCAGAGGCTATGAAACCTCGTCTCTTAGCCATGAGAGGAAACACGTTTCACAGTTATGGACTTCTTGGGGAAGCGGAGAAGTCTAGTTTCTTCTGTTTAATAGAGAAGTTTATGTAAAAGACCTTGAAGGCTACTTCAGGGTATTTCTGGATTTTGGGTTAAGTCAATTAGTACATATTTGGCCCATGAGTTGCCTTTATCTGTTCATATTTATTAAGGGTTAGGACCTGAGCTTGTCTACCTGCTTACTAAATCTCCATGCTTTTCATTTTTAATATCTAGCTGACAGGTGCATTGTTAGAATTTAAACTAAGTCTGAAGCAAATGTCTTCATTTATTTTTACTAACATGATCCTAGATAATTAAAAGAGATTTTAAAAAATTCAGTCTGCTTCCATTTATGCTGTCTTGAATGAGCATGTCTTTTTACTTGGATAATAAATCTCTGGAATAAGTCTCACTTTTGTTGCTAGTCACTTCCGGGTATTTAGTGCTGTGGTGTTTAGATTTCATACACTACAAAGGGGATGAGGTAGCTAGATTCAGAACAGCTGCAGAAATATCTTAGATGTTTGTAAAAGCATGGCTTTGTACACTATAAATCCTGGGCCAAATGTGAATTGACAGGATCTCCTGGTTTGCCATTCCCCAAGTTTTGTGGTCAAATTAATTTTCAGGGCACAGCTGGATGCTTGGGAAGGATCTCATTCTAGTGCCCAGCAGACATTAGATGGCCACTCTTGAAATACATTGGCAGTTTTGTGGAAGAAGTTTGCCCAGAGCCTACATGCATTGTGCCAGCTCAAGCCACTGCCTGTTGCTTGAATAGTCTCAAAATTAGAGAGAACCTTGTTTCATGCTGAAAGTGTTTATTAATTAACCTTAAAATGTGAACCTCTTAGCTCTTGATAGCTCTGAATACTTTGCTCACTTCTCACCAGGCAGTCGGCGATTCCTATGTAAATCGCAATTCGATGGTTTAAAAGTTAGAATAGGAGTCTAGGAGATAAAGGACTCCAGACTTCCATTTTCTGCTGTGCTACTGCACTGCCTCACAGCTATACTTGGGTAAGTGACTCTAACGTCTTCATGCCCATTGCCTCTATCTGTAAATGGGAATGGTGTGACTATTCTGGGAAGCTTGGGGAGCTTTCATTGTGTACATGGATGTGAGACTGTCTGTCTGGCTAGGGTGACTAATCGTCCCATTTTTACCAGGACAGTCCCTTATTTAAGGCTTCTCCCGGCATCCTGACTTCTTTTTGTTTTTGTTTTAAACGGGCACATTGTCCTGTATTTCTCTTGCGGTGGGTGGAGGAGCCGCCAGCATTCAGGTCTTCAGCCTCTGAAGTCCCGAGCATTGGCAGCTCCCCTTCCCTCCCGCCTTCTGCGGGAGCGAACTTCATCCCTGCAGTGGGGCAGGGTGGGCGGAGAGCCGCCGGCACTTGGAGCTTCAGCTGCTGGAGCCCCGAGTACTGGGGCTCCTGCCCCAAACGGTGGTGTCCCTTCCTCCTTCCCCTGTGTGCTGAAGTGCTGTGTGCCAGCGGCCCTCATCCCCTCGCCCTCCTGCAGGGCTGAAGCCCTGAGCGCCACTGGCCTGTCCTCCTCCTCCGTGGCACTGAAGCCCTAAGCTGCAGCAGCCTGCCCCACCTTTGGACTAAAGTCCTGAGCACCCCCTTGGTGTCCCGCATTCTGCATGGGGAAATATGGTCACCGTAAATTTGGCTCAAGTCAGAGGAAGCAGACTTAAGACCAGCTATTACAGCAGAGTATTTTCAAAGCCTTCTTACTTGCTAAATATATTGCGAGAAGCCCTGTGCTCTGGTTTAGTTTAACAATGTTCAGAATAGATTCTCTTTCACACAAACATCTGATGAGAAGTGTGAAAGTGCCTGTGACACTGATTGTGTTTGTGCTTATGTCAGTTCTGTAAGCTAACGTGCTTTTTTGGGAACAAAATGAAAAATATATTTCTCTTCTATTGAGTCTGCCTGCTTGAAACAACCTTCTGGGTAGTACTCAGCATGGTATTGATATGTACCAGAAAGAACAGAGATGGTTTCTCATTGACTCAAGGAAAAAGGGGTGTGGAAAACAGCGAGGAAGGTTTAGGGTTAGGAGAACGGAACCTCCATTTACTATTTAATAAAATTTAGTAACATGATACTTGTCTTACGTATTTAATTTTCTTTGCAGGTATCAGCAGTGGATTCGTTAGAGGGTCCTCTTCTTCAGGTGGAGGGCCTGAGTGATCTGAGGTTAGAGCTTCACAGTAAGAAGATGAACTTGCACTTAGTCCTAATAGATGAACTGCACCGTCATCTGTACATCAAATCTACTAACCGCGTGGGACAACAGAACAAAGAGAAAGGGAAAAGGTTGGCTTTAATTAGTGTTAACTGAGACCTTGCGGGGAGGGGCGGGAGGAATTATTTTCTCCCTTGATAAGTAGAAGGCCCTACAGAGAGAGATTGTCGTCATCTTCTGCAGAATCTAACCTTTCATTGGGAGCAGGAGGGAATATATCGAGCTCTGGTGGTGGAGAATAAAACTGAACGATGGTGGTCCCTTCTGACCTTAAAGTCTGAGTTCGTGCTTCCTTCCTGAACCTGCAGATGGACTACTCCAGTGCCACTCCTGCTACTCAGACATTGCCACACTGCAGCCCAGTGAGGACAGGCAAAAGTGTTGTCAGTTTCCACTGCTGCTATTTGTAACCCGGTGGGTAGCAATGACATTGGCAGTCAGAGCAGTTTCACTCTGCTGCACATTAAGGAATGCTATATGCAGCAACAGAGGCAGGCAGTTAGCATGGTGTAGTAGGGAGGAGATGAATAGATATTCCCCATCCCTATGCAGTGTTCAAGAGGCTCTAGTGAGGGGTAAGAGGAAGAACTGTGAGAGAAAGCATGCTTAAGAATATAAGAATGGCCATAGTGGGTCAGACCAAAGATCCATCTAGCCTGGAGTTCTGTCTTCGGACAGTGGCCAATGCCAGATGCCCCCGAGGGAGGGAACAGAACAGGTAATCATAAAGTGATCGCTCTCCTCTTTCCCGTTTCTAGCCTCTGACAAACAGAGGCTAGGGACACCATTCCTACTCATCCTGGCTAAAAAGTATTGATGGACGTAACCTTCATCAATTTATATAGTTCTTTCTTGAAGTCTTCTGAAGTGAGTGAGAGGTAGAAATTAGGGAGAAGAGAAGCAGATAGAGAGGTAAGAGGGAATACAATGAAAACAACGCAGAGCAAAGAAGCATCATGATTTATTATGGGAAGAAAAACTAATAGTGAAGCCAGTAAGGGTAAGCAGGATTAATCAAAATAGAGGGGGCTCAGTCAGTTACTTTCAACAAATTATTAAATTGGAAGTTGCTTGTAGTTGAAATTTCCAGGCAGGAGGCTTCTTAATGAGTCATCATAGCCTCTTGCTTACTCACCCCATTAATTAAAAACAAACACCAAGTTTGCTGCCCCCATATACACACTTGCTGATAAACGACAGTCCCGTGTTCCTGCTACAGGGACACGTATCTCTCTCCTGCTCTCCTTCCTTACATTGAACACACCCCCTCTGGTCACACCTCATCGCTTGCATGGCAGGGACAGTCTGTCATTGGATGATAGAGCAGCACCTAGCAAAGCTGGGCTCGATCCTAATGGAGGGCCCAGAATACGACTGTAATAATTGAATGTTGTTAATTGCACTGCACTGACATGCAGAACTTTAACGCCTCTAAATTGTCAGTGGGCGGGTTGATTTTTTTTTAGGAGATTTTTCACATAGTCACATGGGCTTTTAGTTGGTGGGTGCTGAGTTACTGTTCCTGCCCCTAAGGTAACCTAGTAATCTTATTATAGGAGCATTGTTTGTTTTTCTTAACCTGCTTCCTCATTCGGCCTCTTGCCTTACCTTATGTGGGTGGGCAGCTTGATGCACTCTTGACAAATAAATGTTGCCTTTTTTTCCATATATAACCCTCATGGAAGAAGTAATGAGCTGCAATTTGAAAGAGGATGCAGGATGTTGTGGAGTGGGCTGGGAGGGGATTTCCATTCAAAGCCAGCTGCTTAGAAGGCCAGGAAGTGGACTTGATTCCTTCTAGTAAACTAGAAGCTGGTTGCCTCATTATATGGTTAAGCTCCCAGATCAGAATCAGCTGTAGAAAGACTATATACCATAATTTTAGCATGGATTCTTTTCGTCAGTGCTAGAAGATGATGCTTGGCAATAACCAAGCAAATCCCTTAGTAAACCATCTCAAGTCTTGAGGTCTCTGAAGCGTGCACTGTGGGCCGTGAGAATTTATAGGCGGGGCCTTGGGCAGAAGCAGCAGGGCTAGGGATTAGCTTCCCCCAGCTATCCCTCAGCACCACCCGGACTGCGCTGCATGGGGTTCCAGTGACGATTCAAAGGGCTGGGGGCTGGCTGCAGTGGTGGCCTGGAGCCTGGGGCTGTTTTAAATAGCTGGGTTCTGGGACAACTGCACCCTCCCTCCCATTCTCCGTCAGCAGCCCTGGTGACATATATTAAATCAGTGAGGCTTCATGTGGGAAGAGGGCTGCCTTTATGGCTCTAGTTATGGGATAGGGGCCCTGCTTTCCTCTTACGCTTGTCTTTTTAAATGTGCTTGCAGTAGTAGTGACTCTTTTGTCTTGTTTTCTTATACTCTCCCTTCTGTTGGTATCCAACTGTTGTTTCCGCTCTTATACTTAGACTGTAAGCTTCTCAGGGCTGGGACTGTCCATGTTAAGTGTTTTTATAGTGCCTAGCATAATAGGATGATGGTCTATGATTGGGGTCCCTGGGTACTGCCGTAATAAGTAACAATAATATGTTGGTTCATTTTTTCCCCCCCTGCCCAGTTCACTTGTGAAGGATGCTTCTCCCATGCCACTTATTGATGTGACTAACTTGCCTACGCCTCGGAAGTTCCTTGACACCTCCCAGTTCAGCACTCCTGGGAGCACTAGCGGTGAGTAGAAATACTTGCACGTGTCATTTGTAGCTTTGGAAGTGCATTTGTAAAGGCCAAGAAATCTCATTAGCCCCATTTGTGATGGGGTGTCTCTCAGACAGAAAAGGGTTAGCCAAGTCCTGCCTCAGAAGGAGCAATGGAGGAGAATCCTGCGAGCAGCCCAACGTGGCTGCAGGAATCCTAGCCAATTGAGGAGGTGCAGGGGGCAACCAATCAGGGCCCAGTAGACTCCGGTAAAAGGGAGCTGCAGGGCAGAGCCCAGGGAGTAAGGGCTACATCCATGGAGGGCTGAGAGAACTGAGAGCGCCTTGAACAGAGCAGTGGCTGACTCCTAGGCCTGAGCAGCTCTGACTGCCCTGAGGTGAAGGCGAAGACGGTGCTGGGGCCAAGGGGGAGTGGCCCAGCGAAGTAGAGCAGCACTGACTGAGGGTACAGTGGACTAGCAGGAGGCTGCTTATTTACAGGATCCCTGAGTTGGTGCCTTGAGTAGTTAGTGGGTCCATGTCCCCCCACTCGCCCCTGAGGAGGTGGCTGGATTGTTGGGAAGATACACTCCTCTCCCAGAAGGGGGGAACCCAGATGCCGACATAGTTGGAGGGTCGAAGCACAAATCGGATGCTGCGGTTCTGAGAGCAGAGAGAGGAGCTGTGGGGTGGGGGCAGAGACCGTGATAATCGGCAGACTGCAGATGTGGGCATCAGCCTTGAGCTAATCCCCAGTATGAGCAGGAGAAGGCGCCAATTTGGCCAGGAGGGCTGCACCCCTTGATGTCATTTCACAGATGGGGGACATGGAGCATGGAAATGTGAAGTGACTTGCCCAAGGCTGTAGAAAGGTGGTGACAGAACCAGGGATAGCTAGAATGTAGTCTCATGACTCCCACTCAGTTATTGAGTACAGGTTGAACCTCTCTAGGCTGACATTCTCTGGCCTCGGGGGGTAGCCGGGTTAGTCGGTAACTGAATAAACTTAAACAACAACAGATAGTCTTGCAGCCCCTTGAACACTTAAAAAAAATATGAATGGAGTTAAGGGGCCTAAGGGACAAATAAATAGCAGAGAAAGATAGGGAATGGGGAGGGAAAGGAAGGAAAAAAATATATTGTCCGTGTCCATGGTAAATGAGACCGATGGAGTGGGTTCTGAATACTCCAAGTACCCGGTGCTTGGCTTTTTATGTCATTAGAGTGTGGAATGTAGAGGGCCATCCAGTTAAGGTCTTTGTTTAAACCTTTATTGTAGGTGTCAGACTTGTACATTATATCAAGTTCTGCAGCTTTTCTCTCCAGTGGTTTTTAGTCACTTTTAGATGGATGAGTGAGTGCCCAGGCAAGTTGAAATGTTCCCCAACAAGTTTGTGTGGTACCATTTCGAATATCCGATTTGTGTCCGTTAATCCATTGTCGTATATACTGTCCAGTTTGGTTAATATATGTGGCAGAGGGGCAGTGCTGGCACTCGATGGCTTAGATCACATTGGTGGAGGTGCAGTTTGTATGAGCCTTTGATTTGGTGGCTTATGTGGTTAGGTCCTGTGATGATGATGCTTGTATGGATGTGTAGGTGCAGTTGACACTGGAGCTGATTGCAGGGTTGGGTTCCTGGGTGAGTATGATAGAGGTGTGTTATGTCGTTTCTAGAAAGAATTTGTTTGAGATTAGGGGGTTGGCTGTATGTGAGGACTGTCCTGTTGCCCATGGCCTGAGAATGAGGGGTCATTTTCCAGGAGAGGTTGTAGTTTGTCACTGATGTGCGGGAGGGGTTTAAGTTGGGGGTTGTCGGTGAGGACCAGTGGTCTTCTGTTGTTTTCTTCGTTGGGCCTTTCTTGAAGAAGCTGATGCTTGGATCCTCGTTTGGCTCTGTCAATCTGTTTTTTCATTTCTCCAAGTGGGTATTTAAGTTTTAAGAATGCTTGATCTAGAACCTGTAGTTCAGGGGTGAGGAACCTTTTTTCAATTGGGGGCCGCTGACCCACAGAAAAATCACTTGGGGGCCATACACAAGTGAGAAGCAGAACAAAAAACCCCTCACTGAGGCCCCCCAATGAGGAGAAGGACACTTCTCACACACCAGAGCCTAGGGGGTTCCAGTCTAATAGAATTTGTGTGCTCCAGCCCCATGAGGCAAGGCAGCAGGGGCACTTGAGCACCAGCACCGGCTCCTCAATGTTGGGGAGAGCCCTGAGCTTCAGGGGCTGGAACCAGGCAAGATGAGGGCCACGCCCGAGGGCCTGAGGTTTCCCACCGCTGCTGTAGGTATTTATTTCTGTGGGACTGGAGCAAATCCGGTTGTATCTTAGGACCTGGCTATAAACAATTGACTGTGAAATGTTTCTGGGATGGGAGTTACAGGCATGTAGGTAAATGTAAGTCGGTAGGTTTCTGGTATAAGGTGGTGGAAATGTGGCCGTTGTGTAATTGTACTGTAGTATCTAGGAAGTGGATCTCTTGTGTGGACTGGTCCAGTCTAAGGTTGATGGTGGGGTGGAAGTTTGTTGAAATCCCTGTGGAATTCTTCTAGGGTCTCCTTCTCATGGGTCCATATGATGAAAATGTCGTCAGAGTAACTTCAGTAGAGTAAAGGTGCTAGGGGGCAAGAGCTGAGGAAACGTTATTCGAGGCCAGCCATAAAGATGTTTGCATATTGTGGGACCATTCGGGTGCCCATAGCTGTGCTGCTGACTTGAAGATATAAATTGTCCCCAAATTGGAAATAGTTGTGGGTGAGGACAGAGTCACAAAGCTCTGTAGCCAAGTGTTCAGTGGTGTCATCAGGGATAGTGTTCCTGACAGCCAGTAATCCATCATTGTGTGGAATGTTGGTGTAAAGAGCATCTACATGCATGGTGGCCAGGATGGTGTTTTCAGGAAGATTACTGATGTTCCATAGTTTCCTCAGGATGTCGGTGGTGTCTCTAAGATAGTTAGGAGTGCTGGTAGCATAGGGTCTGAGGAGAAAGTCAATATAACCAGAGAATCCTGCTGTAAGTGTACCTATGACAAGATGATGGGTCGTCTGGGATTTCCAGATTTGTGGATCTTGGGTAGAGCAGGTAGAACACTCCTGGTCTGGGATTTGGGGGTGTGTTTGTGTAGATTTGGTCCTGAGTAATATCCTTGGTCTGGCATGATTTTAGTTAGCCAGATGTCCACTTATCCTGAGTGTGGCCAAGTTTCTGGAAGTCCCAAAAAGTCTGTTTATAGCCACCAGTCTTGGCACTCAGTGTTCTATGCTGTTACTTACCTCTAATTTACCCCTACATGTCTTCTAAGAGCCCAGTAAGCAGCAGAAGTGTTGCTAATGCTGCTAGATCATAATGACCTCTTCGTGGTTCGGCAAATGCTCTGGTTGTTCAGATCCCGAGGGTGCAGAACTAGAGAGGTTCAACCTCTATTAACATGGTTGAGCAAATTTCTTCCTGACAAGTCATCTATTCACCTATTTTTTTTTTTTTCATTCTCTGCCCAAATAAATTGTATTTAGTGCTATCTGTTGCTCCTAGTATTGATTGTCTCTTGGATATTCTTATTTCTGGTCAGGAGGGAGACTTCCTCCAATTCCTTGTGCATCTAGACATCATTTCACCTTATCTAATAGAGGAAGGACTGGCACACAGAGTGCAAATTTATTTTTCTGGGTTAGAGCCAAAACCTCAGAATTCGTTTTCTAAAAATCCTGGCTGAAACTGTTATCGGCAGAGGAAGCTCTGCCTATATAAATACAGCTTTTCATCGTTTATTTCTCTAGTTTTATTGGTGCTAGGGAAATTTTCTTAATACAATATTTTGCACTTCCTCAGCATCTTTCATCTGAGCTTCTGAGAGCACTGCACAAAGGGTTAGTTCAGCTTTACAACATATCAGCGAGTTTAGTAGGCAGGGTTGTCCTTATTTTAGAGGCGTATGTTGCAGCTTAGAAAGAGGTGGGGTTCACAGCTCTGTGTGCTGCCCAGCTAAATAGGTCATGCAAGATGGAACACCCTTTCTTCATCGTGCATGTAACATCTCCCCTTTACACAAACTGTAAAGGAAATTAAAAGTTAATAACCAGGTTAAGAAAAAGTTTTCCTCCACTTTTATTTTTGTGTCTAATTTTGTCATCCTCTCATTGCTGTTAATTTTTTTTCCTTTGATTCTTTTTTTCCCCTGGTTTCTTATCTCCTTCATTTTCTGTTTCTCTGTCTCACATTTATGTCATAAGAACATAAGAATGGCCGTACTGGGTCAGACCAAAGGTCCATCTAGCCCAGTAGCCTGTCTGCCGACAGTGGCCAACACCAGGTGCCCCAGAGAGGGTGGACCGAAGACCATGATCAAGCGATTTGTCTCCAGCCTCTGACAAACAGAGGCCAGGGACACCATTTCTATCCCCTAGCTAATAGCCTTTTATGGACCTAACCTCCATGAAATTATCTAGCTTCTCTTTAAACTTTGTTATAGTCCTAGCCTTCACAGCCTCCTCTGGCAAGGAGTTCCACAGGTTGACTACAGGCTGTGCGAAGAAGAACTTTCTTTGATTAGTTTTAAACCTGCTACCCATTAATTTCATTTGGTGTCCTCTAGTTCTTCTATTATGGGAATTAATAATTAACTTTTCTTTATTCACCCCCTCCACACCACTCATGATTTTATATACCTCTATCATATCCCCCCTCAGTCTCCTCTTTCCTAAACTGAAGAGTCCCAGTCGCTTTAACCTCTCCTCATATGGGACCCGTTCCAAACCCCTAATCATTTTAGTTGCCCTTTTCTGAACCCTTTCCAAGGCCAAAATATCTTTTTTGAGGTGAGGAGACCACATCTGTACACAGTATTCAAGATGTGGGCGTACCATCATTTTACACAGGGGCAGTAAGGTATTCTGTGTCTTATTTTCTATCCCTTTCTTAATTATTCCTAGCATCCTATTTGCCTTTTTGACCGCCGCTGCACACTGTGTGGAAGTTTTCAGAGAACTGTCCACGATAACTCCAAGATGTCTTTCCTGATTTGTCGTAA